TGCTGGACCATTGGTCACACAAATTCCACTAATGTGGCTTCGTCATGCCCTTTCTGACTTTGGGTCCTAATTCCTTTTGACTCTGTTGGCAAAAAATAAGGTTGTTAATGAAGGGTTCATTTAAAAATAAGTCAGATTAATAGAGTAATTTATTACAGACCAGTCTTAAAGAAGAATAATCCTCTGCTGTCAATTTGCAGGTCAGTCTACATACAGTGAAAATGTAGATGAACTTAGTTATTTTTATTTTTCTGCAATGTGTATGCTCTCTGAAGTGAAAATCTTCATATCCTGTTGTTAAAATGTCTAGAACTTGAGCACCATTTATAAACAGTGTTGCAACAGTTGTGCTGAATATATGCTGCTGGGTTTTCAGTGTTTTAGGTGATGGCAATTTTACCTACAAGGAGCTAAAATATAACCATGAGTCTATTGTTGGTGAACCAGCTGCCATAAAATGTTTTCATCTGCCGCAAGATAACTGCATGTTGCTGCTCTTGTGTTTGACTGCTGCACTATGGAGGATTTTCTTTAAACTTAGGTGTGTCTCTCTTTACAGGAACGTACAGAAAGAAGATCGAGTTCCAATGCTTGATGAGTACAGGGAGTACAAGAAAATTAAAGCCAAACTGAGGCTGTTAGAAGTCCTTATCAGCAAACAAGATTCTTCAAAGTCAATTTAAATCTGTTCCTCCAAAGCATTGAATAACGTTTCTGTATACAACCACTGTACTTATTGGGTGCTCGTGTTCATTTGTCATGCACTGTTGAAAGAATCCAGTTTGTGCACTTTATTGTGGTGCCACTATAAGATGTTTGAAGGGTGAGTAGGTCCTGTCTAGAGAGCAAGTAAGATTTCTAAGTTTGAGACTGCTTTATCCAACTTTAGCAAACACAGTTTCCATCAAAGTTTTGTATTACAGATGCGTCCATCTTGTTCTAAAACAGCCATAGCTTTCTTTTTCTTTAGCGTTCAAGAACTTTGAGACTTCTGTTATTACAAACTTTTTATGTTATTGAAGAAATTAATACCATAATGCTACACTGAACTACTCCTCTTGCCTATTTTTTATTATGGGGGGAAAAAAGTCAGCAAATAAAATGTACACCTCTTTTTCCTGGAACATTTGAAAACCAGACTGAAATTCCTTTCAAAGGACTGCTGTGGAACAACTTTAATTTTTCATATTCTAAATTGCACCTATAACACAGTAATAAGTTACATCTGTGGATTTTGCTCATTAATGGTCACGTTTCCTCCTTGATAAAGATGACAGTGGACAAACCAGAAAGTGACCTTGCTTAGTGTCTTTTAAAACTTGGAAAACTGAAAAGTTGTATCACATGCTGCCTCTAGGACTTACGTTACTGTCGTTCCTTTTATCATTTTATCAGTTACTGTTCATCAGCTAGTGGTGACATTGTGTTTTGTCTGAATTGGATACTGCATCTCCACTTTCGGAAGATTTGAGGAACATAACGAACATTTCAGTGTATGGGAAGTGTGATGGCGCTCAGACTTGCGTAGCTCCAGCAGGAAAGAGCTGGCTTAGGACAGTTAAAATTCCACCGTGTCTGAAATAAGCATGGTATCAAGGGCTAAAATCAGTGCAGATAAAATGCACCACAGGGTGAACTGTCAGTTTTGAGTGGAAAAAAACTGCTGTTTATCACAATTTTGTTTTACAGTTGGAGAATAAAAATAAGTTATCTAATCCTTATGATGTAAGCAAAACAGTTTATGGGCCTTGCATGATTTAGCTTCAGAGTTGAAACTAAATAATGTTTTGAGTATCACATCTGCTGTGCTGAATGATGATTTAGCGACTAGCTTTATACTCTGCAGCAGCCATCAGCAGCTGGCTTTGATCTAGCAAAATCTAAGTGTTATTTTGACTGGTGCTTTCTCAGTTTGTTTTTTCTTCAGTGTATCGGTTTGATTGTGGCCATGTTTTGCATGCACCTACTCTCACTGCATGTTCTTATGACTGGCTGATGTCAACGTAGCTATTATTTACACTGCTTTATGAAAGACCAAAAATGAACTTTCTCACAACATAAGAAGTGGCTAGCATGTAACCTCATAGACTTGCTGTTCTGTCATGAAGCATATGAAATGAGCTGAAAGTAGGATTTCTAGTGCTCAGATCTCATCTGTGTACTGTAGAACACTTCTTGTTTTGTTTTACTCTGCTTGTAGGCATGTAATTTTGGAATTCAGAAAAAAAAAGCACTAAAACTATTGAGCACTGGTGGTATGCCTCTTATTTTTTAAACTGCAAAATGATCTGGGACCTTAGAATTACGAGGTTAAACAAGTCTTGAGACCATTTATCCATTTTGTTCAGTTCCGTTGTGCAATGTACACTTCAGTTACTTTTCTATCAGTCTGCAGACACGGGTGTATCCAAACATTGAAACTAATGTGTACTGTATAGTGTTGTACATGAATGTTTGTGTTTTATATACCACATGCAAAATGTCAATATGCACTATTTAAATGTTTTAAATAATATATTCCTCCTTTATAATGCTTAAATCTATATGATTCCAATATTTTTATAAGTGAGTGAGTGATCAGACTGGTTCCAATTCAGAATTAACAGCTGCTTTGTGTTTGTTATGCAGTGTTTGGCTGTTTATTCAGTATAGTAGATAAGCATGGCAACAGTTATGCTGAGTGTGTTTTGTGCCATCTTTGTTGAGCAATAAATAAATGGTAGAACTAGGCATTTTGTGATATAACAGTTTTACTTTGGTAAAAACAAAACCTATATATCTATATGGATATATAGATATGGAATATATATAACTAAACCAGATATAATTGCATTGCTATGTCTGGTGCTCATTGTATAGACTTTTATAATAAAAGTACCTTAACCTTTATTGTCATATATCTTGGTTTCTCATCATGCTTTCTCCTCCACTGCCATCTCTTACAGACAGGCGCCGAGTCCTTCCCTGTTCCCGTAGGTCTTTGTAGATTCAGGGTGTTGCTGAGGCAGGTCCAAATTCCGCAGCCAGTCAGTGGCTCGCGTGCCGAGACAGCCCTTGATGAAGCTACAGCAGTTTGAGCCTCATTTTACCTGTTTAGACTGTGCCTGACAGCAGGAAAGGGACTGAATCGGCTCCTGAACTGACAGCTTGGCTTGCGGTGGAATGTGGGTCCTGCTGGGGTGCCAGCCTGCTGTGGGGACACAGGAGCAAACTGTGAGTGTCGCTTGTTCCTGCTCCACCACTGGCAGCTCTGGGAGTGAATGGGGCAGAGAGCTGATTGAGTCATTGCTGGGCTAATTAATTAACTGCCAGTAAGCACACCTTCAGCTGATGAGCAGCATTTGATTGTGTCTCTATAACCATAGTGATCTCTTAGCCTTAAAATCAGTATCAGTTTGTGGCCAGAACACACTGCTATTGCACACACACCTCTGTAAACACAAGAGGATGCTTTGCCTCTGGACCAAATAGATTTTTTTTCTTCACAGTATATTGATGTAAGTTCATATGAAAAGTGATTGAGGTCTTTCAAACTGACTCTTCTGTTGTATTTTTGTGTAAATCCACCTTTCTTCAGCCTAAGGCCTGGCAGGGAACAGAAGAACTCCTGAAGGTGAAGACTCTGCTTGTGGATGTGTGGCAGCGCAGGTGAATGGGAACAAGAAAAACAATTAAGAAGTTGAGAGAGGAAGTGGGAGAGGAGGCGGAAGGCAGCATTCAGTACATTCCTTAGCATGGGACAGAATAGGCAGGCTATCAGGAGGCTTTTCTCTGTGCCCCAGAGAAGTACAGCAAGGTTGAGGAGTGCTTGAAAGCTGTTCTGTAAAGTTCTGGGTAAGTAACTGTGCCTAAAGGTTGTGAGACTTCTTTGTACGAGAGGGGTTACCAGGATAATGAAAGGTTGGAGATGCCAAAGTTACAATAGATCTGCGTTCCTGCGTGTCAGTAACCAAGTGGAGTGTTGAGCAATGAAGACAGATGGATCATCAGTGAACAACTATGTCGTGGGATACTGATAGCAACAAGAACCCTTTGGAAGTGAAGGGAAGAGGTGTTTTGTTTTTATAAAAACCCCTCTTTTTATATAAGAGAGAGGATGGCTTGGCTTGGCTTGGCCAGGAGACTTAAGGCTTTATAGCAGTATTAAGATTCAGGATACTTTGGAGGCTGGGGGTTGCGCGTTGTGTGTGAGCTGATATGTACAGCATCAGAGCCCCGGGACAGGGACTGCGTGTGCGGGGGACGCTACAGCCTGGTGGCACTGGGACATGCGTTTCATTTTCTCCTGTGGCTGAGTCCCGGCAATGAACAAGTATTAATGACTGCAGAGGAGCAGAGAGCTCTTGGCCTCAACATGACGCCTTGTCTCTAAGGCAACGGGGATAAACGGATTTGGGAAGGATGTGCCGAAATCCAGGCTGCGGCAAAGCGACCCCTAGCGGTCCCAGCTCTTAAGGCCTGATAATTTTTTTTTTTTCCTGAAAGAATGACTTTTTAAATGTGTTTTTTTCTTCTATTTTTTTTTCTCTGAACCAACAGCAACCTGTTTTGGAAGCAACAGGTACCTGGAACAAGAATTGTTGAGAAATAAGCATAAACCTTGGTAGCAGAAGAAAAAATGGTCTGGGGAAGTGAGGGCCAACGACCTCTGCTTGGTGACTGAGGGCTGCACTGGGCTATGCAGGGCCAGAGAGGGAGAGAAGGGCACGGAGCAGGCCCAAGGTGCTGCCATTGCTCATGGTCTGCTCCCTTGGTCACATGTGTGACTCACAGCAGCCCCAGCACAAGGCAGAGGGATTAATGTCATCCAGGCATTTGTAGAGGTGCCTACCCAGAACTCCAGCAAGGTTGGTCAGCTCTTCTTAGAGGTAAAGCAGCACCTGAAACCCTCAGAGAAAAGACTCAGAAGCAACAATGGTACATACTTTAATTAACATTCTTGCTTTTCTTACTCAGATATATAAAAAAATAAAGGGGGGTTGGAGGGGAGGACTTTGCATTTATTTAAACTGTGGGAAGTCTGGGGCCTTTTCTGTTACCAGATGAGTCCATGCATTTTCCTCTGCTGTCTTGCCTGAGGTATATTGCAATTCCACCATGGTTTCCGTAATTCTATCGAGTTTTTTACTAATTTCATTTACATGCTTCCCCAACTGAACTGTATACCTGAAGAGCCTAGAACACACAAATACAGACACATGGCCTTGAGATGGTGCTGCCCTTAAACATGCATTTGCAGCCTTTCTCTGCTCACTTGCATCACCTGCCAAGGGTCTGAGTCCTGAAATACCCCTTCACAAGCACAAGGTCTCACAGTCTCTGTCCCCCTCCCTGGGCAGCCACACAAGGAGATCTTCTGGAATAGTGACAATATTTTAAATTCCTGTCCCACCTCATTCTTGACTAATGTCCTTACAAGCTGCTCTACTAAATTCTTTCCTTTCCTTCTTCCCTCCCTGAGGGCAGCTGTTGTCAGCCAGTAAAAGAGCACTTAAAATATCTCAAAATCACGACTTTGTGTTGATCTCCTGTCTGCCTGGGTGTCTCAGCTATGGCTGCAGCTGCCCCAGGGATGGGAATAAGACTGCAAGAACAGATTTGCACACACTTACTGCTTAAATTCTGCAGTGGAGATGAAGTCAGTGTCCTTAGTAGATGGAGACCCCTGGTGAGGTTCCTCTTTCTCTTTCTGTGGCTCTGATAACTTCAGATCCCTCTGTTCAACATCAAAGGGAATAAAAAAGAATTAAAAAAAGAAACAACATGGAGAAAGTCAGCATGGCTCGCGGGGACACCTGTAATGCAGTCACTCGTCAGGGGGGACACGCATCTATCTTTTCCTGCATGCAGCTTTGGGAAGAAAAAAAATGCTCCCTTCTCCCTCTGAAAGCAGATTTTCCTTCTGGCCCTTCCAGAAAGACAGGATATAGGAAGACACATTTCTTTTTGGAGTTGAGGTATTGCAAGCATGGAATGTAGTAGTGTTTACAGCAAGACAAGGGGCTCTTCCCTCTCACTGTAGAAGTGATTTAAAAAAATATTTTAGAAGTACTTGTCCTGGTTTACCCCAGATACAGAACCACCAAAGACTCCTGGAAACCTTCTTTTCTGTAAAGCAAAAGGCAGCTACAGTAATCTGTCTTACTGCTGTAGATGCGGCTTATGGCCCAATACAACTTTACACCATTACCAAGACACGCTGTGACCTCACCCCACTGCCAGCTCTGCTATGTGTGACCTTGCCCGAGCAAGCTTTTATTTGAAGTTTCGGCATAATTAGTGATATTTATTTATTTAGAGGTCTAACTTTTGCTATTCCTATGAGGTTAAAAATAGTATCCTGTGGAGAAACAGCTTTTATAAGTAACAGTGGGGACAACTGTGACTCCTTTTGCATTATTGCGCTATAACTGAAATAGATTAACAGTTTCTGAGAATATAGGAAAGAATAAAGCCTACCTTTTCATTAGCACTGTCTTCATCGGAAAGCTCAGAAATATCCTTTCCTTTGCTTGTCATTCACACAAACGAGAAGAGACAGAAGTCTTGTGAGAACAGGTCTGTGCTCGGTGCAGGGGGTTATGGCAAATGCTGAGATCCTACCTTTTCAAGCTCTCATCTGCAGGACTTGTATCTGCCTTTGGTTTCTTCAACCTGAACTTGGTAAGGACCTTATTGCAACTCTGAACACAGACAGGGAAAGTCAGACGTGTCTGGTTAAATGGAAGCCATCTAACTTCTGCACGAGGACTTGCATGCAAGGAATAAACTGTCAGCATAATGCCTTGGCAGTTAAACAGAAATCCCACCACTCTATCACTTTCTTTGTTCCCTTAGCTCAGCTCCTGCAATATCTCAAATTTGTCATGAAATCCCTGAAAGTAATATCCCACCAAATTTGCTAAGCGTTTCTGTTTTCAGGCATATTCAGTTTAATCTTAGTGTAGTCCAGGATCATTAGAATGAGCTTGGCTGGGGGAATCTAAGCTGTGCTGCTGCCAACCAGACTAGCTGTACCCTAGCTGGGAGCTCACCCTTCCTCTTCCTTAATGAAATACAGGCTTAGAAGAAGCAAAGTAACTTGTGCCTATGCCACTCATAAAATCCTACAGGACGATTCCAGGTAGGTCCAGCTGCCAGCCCTCCTCTGCAGGGCGGTCAGTGGAGGCCAACTTGGAGAAACGCAGTCTGAAAGCGCAGGTCTCTCCTCCCACACCTATCTCACTGGTGATGCTGTGTTCAGGTTTCTATCTGGAAGCACTGACTTGTCCCAGCAACAGAACTGTGTGCAATCTCTGCATCTGGCAGGAAAGGAGGTGGTGATAATTTCAAGTTGAACTGAAAGCTAGGGAAAG